GGATGTGTTTGAGAGTCCGAGTGGTGTAAAATTAAATTAAAGGGAAGAGACTTACTTATCGTCGGGTGTATCTACAGATCTCCAAACTGTAGCTTATTAACCAAAGGAACTTAAGAGCCTTAATAGACAATGCAGCGATGCTCAACCCTAGCCACCTCCTTACCATGGGGGACTTTAACTATGGCGACATCGACCTGCTACTCTTTTTGTAGAAACTCTGAGAGATAATTTTATGTTCCAACATGTTAGAGACCCGACACATTACAGAGGGGAGCAAACACCCAAGCCACTAGACCTCATCATAACAAATGAGGAGGGAATGGTGGCCAAACTGGAACACCTAGCCCCAGTTGGCACCAGTCACCATATAGTGTTGTCATTCAGATTTAACTGTTACTTAGTTCATGACAAAACCATGCCAAGGTACAATTATTATGGAGGAAATTATGACGGGATGAGGAAGGAGATGAGGGGTATCCACTGGCCTGACTCACTAAGGCACAACAACGTGAACACTACGCTGAATATTACAGCTAGTAAAGTGACCCATTTGATCGAGAAATATATACCCAAGACCAAACCCAGTGCCTCTAGGAATACAAGGAGACCACTACACATGAACCATGTGGAGGTCGATAAAATTAAGAAGAAAACCCAGAAATTCAAGACGTGGGTTAGGAGGATAAATGATGAGCAGGACAAGAGGATGTATAGTATACCAGATCCAGGAAATAAACTGTCCAGGCTAAAGGTCCATAAGAGTCCCGGACCTGACATGGTGCATCCTAGAGTGCTAAGAGAGTTGAGCAACGAACTTGCTGAGCCCCTGAAGATCCTGTTCTATAAATGCCTGGATGAGCAGAAGGTCCCCAGTGACTGGAAAATGGCTTATGTGGGTCGCATTTTCAAGACGGGCGATCGTCACTCCACGAATAATTATAGACCAGTGAGCCTGACCAGCATAGTGTGAAGTACTTGAGAGCATTATAAGAGATGCCAAGATGAAACATCAACTATGAAACAACCTTGTAAAGGAATGCTAACATGGTTTTATGCTGGGGCGCTCCTGCTTAACACAATTGCTGAAGGTACTGAATGTTTGGACCCATATTCTGGAACAGGGTGACAATATCAACACTATATACTGGACCTAGATTTTGCAAAGGCTTTCAACAGCGTACCCCATGAAAGGTTAAAATTTAAACTGGAAGGGTACGGAATTCGGGGAAGTGTACTAGTGTGGATTGGAGACTTTGTCTATGACCGCAAGCAGTGTGTGGTGATTAATGGAATGAAATCGTCATGTGTACCCGTGACAAGTGGGGTACCACAGGGCAGTGTATTGGGCCCGCTGTTGTTTGTTTGTTTCATAAATGACATGCCTGACGTTGTACACTCCTCCAGACAAATGTTTGCAGATGATGCCTAGTTATTTCTGGAAATTAAGAACCAAACAGACTGTGAAGAACTGCAGAAGGAACTCTGTGAGCTTCAAGAATGGTCGAAGAAATGGCTGCTGAGACACAATGTCATGAAGTGTAAGAGGATGCACCTGGGGCGTACCAACGGTAAGGAGGCGTATCATATGTCCCAACGGGATGAAGAAACTGCATTAATTGAGACTGAATGTGAAAGGACCTGGGTGTGTATGTTGACAATGAGCTGAAGTTCTCGGGCCATTGTGAAAAGAAGGTGAACCAAGCAACTAACTTATTAGGTCTTATAAGAAGGTCGTTCAGATATCTAGACGGTCTGTCCCTCATAATGATCTTCAAGAGTGAGGTGCTTCCCCGCCTGGTTCCCGAGATATGCTAGGGAGTGTTAGTTAACTGAAAATGTCCAAAGGAGGGCCACCAGACTGGTGCCGGCTCTTCGGCACGTCAACTACCCTCAGAGATTGGAGCGCCTGAACTTGCCTAGCTTATACTACAGGTGGGTAAGGGGAGACCTAATTGAGGTGTATAAGCATCTCAAGGGGCACTACTCAGTCGAGTGTCCTTACTTGGAGCTGGCGGACGCTCGCCCCACAAGGGGTCACAGCTCAAGATTGAAGAAGCCACAAGTCCAGAAAACTGTGAGGGCAAACTTTTTCGGAGTGAGAGTTGTGAACTCTTGGAACAATCTACCAGAAAGTGTTGTGACGGCACCGAGTCTGAGCTCTTTCAAGACAAGACTTGACCAACACTGGAGCAGGTTCAGGTACATTCAGGAGCTGGTGCACATGCCCAGTACTTGCCACGAGTACGTAATAAAGATGTGACCGACTGTTCAGGCAGATAACGAGCCGATCGGTGATGAAGAGGATAAAAATAATCTAAAAAATTACTCGACCAGGAGAAAATTTTTATGGATGATGAAAGACGTAACTGATGTGTGTAATGAACATGTGTCCGTAACACTACTGTAGAATAGTTCCCCTCACTAACTTCAACTGGTGATTAAACACTACTCAGAGGGAGGGGGGGGGAGGTAGGTTAGTTTTAGTGTGGTTAATCTTCAGGTGAAATAAGCTGGGGTGGGTTAATCATTCGGTGATCAAATTATACGATCATGTAGACCATTATTGACTTAAACGCTCACTTAAACACCACAAACAATATTAGAACAAATGGCAAGATTAAGTCAAATGGTATTAAAGATCATCACTCACCCATCACACTACACCCTACTACCACCACACACTCAATCACAACTACTGTTACCTTTCCAGCACCAAATGTGAGATCCAACCATGAGCGTGTGTGTGTGTGTGGTACATTAAATCACAGCTGAATAAATGTAGTTAATTATATACATACACATACCTAGTTAACTTTTATTCGACTTAGTTATGACCTTTATCGTCTAGTGTAAGTACAGGGGGAAACCGTAGATCCCGAACAAGACCTACCATGTTTGGTCATATCACACTGGATAATACCCTTCTCAAATGTGTCCAGGGCCAGGGATTGAGCCCAGGAGACAGTAGTGAAAGATACCCCAAATGAGACTCACCTATTCTGGTCAAGATGGATAGCTCAACACCCTCACAAGTGAACACAAACCCTCACAGTGGACGGCAGCTGTAAAACGTGATTAATTATGAAACGTGTACAGATGTTGATATTAGGTGGCCCCTGGGTCTAATAGGTGAAGACTAATTACTTAAAGTAGGTGAATGATGAATTACACAAAGGTCACAATAAAAGTAACAAGAACAGACTATAACTGCCTTAATGACCCATAAATTGATAAGTGGCAATATGATAAATAGACAGACAGACACAAACTGAACACGCATAACCTTTAACTGTATGGACCACTAAATCTACCTCCCCACCACCACACCTGTCCCCAATAGTGACATGAACACGACCACAAGTGTTTACCACACCTGTTTGACTTACCCAATCACTACACAGCAAATGGCATACTCGTGTTTCTTTCCCTAATGGCTGGGGTGGGGGTGGTGGGGTGGGTGGTGGGGTTAGGTTAGGTTCTTTTAAGCATAGGATGACTATAATTGTATTTGTAAATCCACAACATACTGTTTATATCCTTCACGACATCAACATATCTTCCCATGTTGCCGCTGGAAACACGACCCGGGTAGTTTCTCATGGCAGATATTTAAACGAGGTGATTCGGTGATCAAAACGAACCATACAAGTTAAACTAAGCCTTATAGATATCTAACTAAACATACTTCCACAACAAACTGCTCAATCTAACTTGGATTTCATGAAGAGTAAACACCGTAATGCTAAGCTAACCTAACCTAATCTAACCCAACCTAAGCTAAGCTAACCCAACCTAAGCTAACCAAACCTAAGCTAAGCTAACCCAACCTAAGCTAACCCAACCTAATCTAACCCAACCTAAGCTAAGCTAACCCAACCTAAGCTAACCAAACCTAAGCTAAGCTAACCCAACCTAAGCTAACCAAACCTAAGCTAACCCAACCTAATCTAACCCAACCTAAGCTAAGCTAACCCAACCTAAGCTAACCCAACCTAATCTAACCCAACCTAAGCTAACCCAACTCTGCTAACCAAACCCAAGTTGCTAACTCAATCCGTTAACCCAACCTAACTCAACCCAACCTAACCCAACCCAACCTGTTAACCTCAACCTGTTGACCCAACCTAAGCTAACCCAACTTAGCTAACCCAACCTGTTAACCCAACTCTGTTAACCCAACCTAGCTAACCCAACCAAAGCAACCCAACTTAAGCTAACCCCAACTAACCCAACTTGCTAACTAAACCTAAGCTAACCCAACCTATAGTTAACTCAATCTAAGCAATCCTCAACTAAAGCTAACCCACTAGCTAACCCAACCTCCCCATTCAGCATTAGGAGTGTTTAATCATCAGGAGAAATGCACATGGGATTCTAACCAACATGAGCTCCCAACCTTACCTGTAGTCTGATGATGTTAGTGTAGTTTAGTTCTGGCTGGGGAAGTTGGGTTGGGTTTAAGTAGGGTTAGGCTTGGTTAAGGTTAGGTTTGCTGTTAGTAGGGTTTGGTTAAGCAGGTTAGGTTGGGTTAGGGGTAGGCTTGCTGGTTAGGTAGGCAGGGTTAGGTTAGGGTAGGGTTGCTGGGTTAGTAGGGTTGTTGGGTTAGGTAGGTTGGTTGCTAGGTAGGGGTTGGGTTAAGCTAGGGTAGGGGTTGTGTTAGGTAGGGGTTGTTAGGTTAGGTAGGGTTGCTGTTAGGTAGGCTTGGTTAGGTTAGGTAGGGTTTGGTTGCTTTGGTTGCTTGCTGGGTTAGGTAGGCTTGCTGGGTTAGTAGGGTTTGTTGGTAGGGGTTGTTGGGTTAGGTAGGGTTAGTTGCTGATTAGTTGTTTGGTTGGGGTTAGGAGATAAGGTTAGGTTAGTTAGGTTTGGCTTTGCTGGATGATGACACTGTGTCACTGATAAGCTTTATCTTTATCTGTAATATGACTCACACCTCACATGGTGTTTACTTAAGTGCTCTACCAAGGCTTAGTAATACTCCTTGAATACCTAACCTAACCCAACCCAACTTAATCTAACCCAACCTAACCTAACCCAACTTAACCTAACTCGACCTAACCTAACCTGGGCATCACAATGGAGTATAATCAGTAAGTCTTTATCCTGTTCACTTCAGTCTGTCAGGTGTCGATTCAGTTCACTCACTCCCCACCGCCGTTGCCAGGCGTACGTATGGGAGAAATACTGTACATGACCTTTTCTCTTCCCTGGCTAGATGAAGGTGGTTGAGGGCATTTGGGAGCCATCACAAGCACAAGGAGCACAGTTATCAAGAGAGCAGGGTAGCATACACACGAAACGGACAAGTGTTTAACCTGGACCGTCACTGAGGTGGAGTGAGTGCACATGGCTCAGCTACCTGGGACAAAAGAGACACCTACGGACGCAACTCACGGGTTCCCATCCGAACGGTATAATAAAACCACCTGCAGACACTCTTGGGTATATCCAGGGTGTCATCCGCGAATAATCGAAGGCCGCAAATTGTAAGGGCATACTGTACGTGACGCTTGTTATATTATGTTATAACTATTTACACTTTTAACATCATTATTACAGATCTAGTAATTGATCACAATATGAGACATGTCCTTGGGGGTACTGTATAGCCTACGATACAGACACTCGAGATTTACATTTTAGACACCTTACACATGATGCGAGAACACAGTGAGCCCTAAAAATATCATTGGCTGCTGCATCATTCTCCAAAACACGGTGAATAACCCGCCAGTCAGTCAATGTACAGCCTTCACACACAGTATCCATCTTGAAACTGAGCGGGACTGAAAGTTACCCTCATTGGTGCTCGAGTATTACATCACATAAATACTCACTCCTGATTCGCTAACAAGACTGACGTAAAACAACTACCACTGATTGGCTAAATAAAAAATTTCAATTATCTCGAAAACTATAAATTTCCGACGGAAAAGTTATAGAAGAAATATTTATTTTATTTTATTTATTTTTCTATCTAACTATATATGACTCAATATTCAGATCCTGTGACATTTTTCCCACATTGACTCCGGGAAACACCAAAAGTCATGTGACGTGACCCAAAGCTCTACAGACACATGTTACAGGACGCGACCTGAAGCATAGGGTTAAATTGTCAATAAACGATGAAGCGTCATATCGGAGATTTTACTGCCTTTATCATAGGTTTGGAGTGCCTTATTTAGCCTTCACTCTCTAGAGTCATTTGTCTATGTTCTGTGCAAATCCTAAATCATTTTCTATTTCCGCTCAATAGGTTCTTAAACCTATTCATTTTATAAATGTTGAAGATTATATTGTTGGAATCGAAACCCATATTGTGTTTTGATTCATTTCCAACGGCTACCTTTCGAGAAGCATTGAATTCTAAGTGAACTGTATGTTCATTTACTTATTGTTATACCTCAAGGAGGACTGAGGGAGAAACCACATACTTTTTCAATGGCGTCCATATCACATCATGTTCGGTATAATATCACAAGTTTATCTGTGCTTGTAGAGGTTGAAGACAGTCTCCAAGAGATCATCTTTCAACATTGACTAGTTGGCAGCACATGCAAGTGTTCAAAATGTGGCAGAGAACTGACAGTGAAGAAGAAATATGTGTTTCAATGCAACGACTGACTGTACTGGTCCACAAAAAAGGTTAAATTACACCACGCCACTTTAAGATAGTTGCTTCCATTGGTACCAGATATAAAAATTATTTTTTGCCTAATATGATGGTGGGGTCCAAGGGCAGAGTCCCCCACTAGATAGTTAGGTATAGGTTTCTTTGGGTATAATTGTGCTACACACCGCACATTCCTACCACTACTCTATTATCATATTCAATAAGACGTCTAATTATAAGATAATTTTCATCTATTACATTACCGCAGAAATGTAATAACGGAGATAGCATATCCAAAATTTTCTATTTTCTTCCATTAATCTTCCTCCATTATCGCCTCACCTCCAACACTGCATGTCTCCCAGCTCCTTCATAAATCATCACGCTGCGCTCCCGCATAACGCCACACAGCCAATCAAAAGCATTTTTGCTTGTTAATAATGATTTGGTTTAATTCGCAGTATATTTGGCCCAATTAAATTGAGTTATATTTGGCTCTCATATTTTGAAATTCAAGTTCAGTTCCGACCACAGAAGTCTGCGATGGGTGTCACTTAAATTATATGGAGCTGATTGCAGTTTTGGGGGAAAAAGAAGAAACTATAGAATTTTTCGATGGCATGGTGTTCTTCCAACCTCAGTAAAGTGTACTAAGAGCAAGACTGAATGTAAATATCGAAAGACCAACATATGTGGTGTTGGGTAAGATCTCAGAATGCAACCACGAACAAGAACCAGAGGCCAATAAGGTAAGAAATAGGTGATTACATCATATGGTGAGAGTCAGTTAGGTTAGGTTAGGGTTTGGTTTTGTTTTTCTAGTGTTTTTGGTATTTTGCCATGATTCTGAAAAAGTCCAACGAAAAAATTCGATAAAAAACCCGGCTAATTTCCGCCAGTAATGAAGGTCATATTCGGTCTAAACACACACAAATACACAAGAAAAATATATTTTAGACTTTCTAACAGAGTGCGGTGTGACAATACAAATTTACCTTTCTTTGGTTCTGTAAGGTTATGTTCATTCTCATTCCCATTTCCATGTTTCTCATCATTCAAATGGTATCTCCAGAAATTTTGGTTGAATTTCGTACACCAGAAACACTCAACAGGTACAAAATGATACAATCTACATAATTTTCCGATTCAGAGGAAGGATACACCTCCTATAATCAGTTAACTTCCCAGCCATGATAAGACAGTCTAAGACATATTATACGCTATTTTCAAAGGTAATATACTTAATTTAACTAATAACATCTCTATAGTCTTATCTTAATGGGTGTGTTACAAGAATAAGGATAAATTTGAACTTACGTAGAAATTTGTGATAATAGGTAATGACTGAACGAGAGTCTGGTCGTGTTGGTCCTCTCGACGCCATGTACTTGATGTTAAGATAATTACCACGAACAGTACCGGGAAAACTTTTATACTTCAATGACACGAATCAACCAAATATATCATTATCCGACTATATATAATATATAATATTAATTTAAGTAAATTTTAAGTATATTATGTTGGATTAGTTATGTCTATTTAAAAATATATTGGTGTTAAGGTACTATTTTAGGTATATTTCTAACATTAGTGATTTTATCTACTTTGTTTTGCTCTCACACGTCAGATGACCTTCCATCCTTCTACCTGACTACAAATATATATATATTTTTTATAATTATCTTAAATTTAAACTTTTAGTAAGTTATTAGTATATAAAAAATTTCATAATATTATTAATTGAAAACTGTAAATTATTTAATCGGTTAATAAGGAAAAACATAAAGTTAATGAGTCGAAGTCAAGTATTCTTCAATACATTCGGATAAGTCATTCAATAAATTCTTACCTAGGAAATACTTAATATTTAATAAAATTATATGTACAAAAAATTACAAAATAAAATATTTATATCAGTTAAATGTATATCTGAAATATATATATAAAGTTATCAGATAACTGTTATTTTCACAAAGGTATTGCGTGGAATCTTTGGACCGTGATTGGTGGACAGGGTTTGTTTACATTTTAAATTACTTTCACCAACAACAGTGATTGGTGGAGAGGGAATATTTATCTTTTGGGTTAATTTCACCAACAGCTGCAGACGACGACCTGACCCACTAGTGATGTAATATCTGTTGTGTGGAATGTTAAGAATAAAGCCTTTAAAGTGATCAAGATGGGACTGAAGATGTTAACGAGGAGCTTCCGCCTTAATACGTCCTTAATATCTCGGTTAGTTGATGTAGATATAAAGTATGATAACTCCTGTTGGATTATGTAAGGAATTATGTACCTGAATTTTTGAAGGGTTGGTGTATAGAATGTCTCGGTAAGTTGATAGGAGATATAAGATACCTTCTGCTGTATTATGTAATTAATTATGTACCACAATTTGTTTAGGGTTAGGGTATAGAAGTTATGGTAAAGGTATACGAAAGAGCTACCATCAGAAGTTGTTTATTCTTTATATCTATTTTTGTCTATATTGTACTTATTATTTTGGTGATTTTAGTGGGCAGGGAACTTATGGAGTAAAAACACGGCAAACACTGATGTTATGGCATTAAAATTACTTCTCTTGGTGCATTTCAAACACCAATATAATTTTCTTACCGTTAGTCAGTCCGGCTTTCACAATTCCCCTCCCACCACCATTGCTTCTTCCTCTAAAAAAAAAACCTGTATAAATTATATTCCATTACTTCTGATCCTCTTAATAGAATAATTATGTATCTTTATTAAGTTTAGAATTACGTGTGTACCGGTTTATTCTTCTTGTGTTTGATTATTAAATGCATTCTCTCTTTATATGGTCTAGAGTTTTTTACAGCGTCTTGTGACAATCGTTAGGTCGAGTTTCCTTGGTTCTTTGTTTTCGTTGGTTTAAATATTTTGTACACAATGTTATCATAATTTTAAATACATAAATGAACACGATAATGTATAGAACCTAATAGAACCTGACCTAATAGGTTGGGTTTGTCAGGTCAGGTTCTATTAGGTTTTAGTAGGTTTTTTGTATTGTTTCCATTTCTGTGTTTAATATCATGCCAATAGTGTGTAGAATAAATTTAAACCAAATCGCACATTTCCTTCTGGTGGTAGCGCTGTAACCTTTACCGAAGTTACTGCTATTTAAAGAGCAAGTAAGTAGGGTCCACTTTACTTTATCCTTCTACGGTAGCCAATTGTCAGCTTCTTGGCAGCTTGGACAGTCGGTCAAGTCTGTTCACTGTTGGCAAGTACTGAGCATGTACTGGCTCCAGGATGTGTATGTACCTAAGCCAGTGTTGGTCAGGTCTGGTCTTGAATGAGCTCACACTCAGTGCTGCCACAACTCTCTCTAGATTGTTCCAGTAGTTTATAACTCTCACTCCAAAAAATTTGCCTTGACAATTTTAGTTAATATTTGTCCATTGGCTGTCCACAGGTTTCCAATTTTCAATATTATAGACACAAAGACTATATAAACCAAATATAAGACTACATATAATTTCTTGTACGAATCAATTTTAACGGAGTATTGTATCTCACAAATTTCTAGGCATAAATTTCAGTACCCGCCATGTTACCAGTCACTTCTTTCCTCTTTGTGACATAACAACCAATGATCTTCAGGTATCGTGTCATGTGACTTGGCTGGCCAATAATTTTGAAGGCTCGTGATGGCGTGTGGTAAGTGCTCTCTCCCTTATCTAGCTGTTATTCAGAGAGTTTATCAGAACAATAGTGAAGCAATCCAAGTATTACAAGATCACGGTGACTCACCAACATGAAGACTGTGTCCTATGTGTGAAAATTGTTTACTTTTAACAAAAGACAAATTCTTTTGTCTGTAACCATAAGTGTACCAGCTCACCCAGCTGTATCCTCCACCACAGTAACACGTGACCTCCCCCAAAATGGTTAGGTTAGGTTAAGTTAGTGTGTGTGTTTTATGGTGTGTCAAACCTGACTGCCATTTCTGTTCAAATTAGCAATTTCGGTTACAAATGAAAATTGTATTTTTGTTTTTTTCAAAAACTGCTAATTTGCAGCAGAAGTGATGGTGAGATTTGAGTAAAACACACCATAAAAACACCAAAAATAACAAATATTTTTGTATCAAACCTGAGGACAGCCAATGGACGAATATTTACCATATTTTCTGAAATTGTGGCTTCTTCAGCCTCAACCTCTGGCCCCTAGTGGGATGGGTGTCCGCCAGTATTACATATGAACACTGGACTGTGTTATGGTCTCGGAGGTGTTTATAGGCTTCTATTAAGTCACTCCTTGCCCGCCTATGGTATAAGCTTACAACTCCTATATGTGTGCCTGTTTGTGTATTTATATATGTTAAACCTAAACTTTATTAACATTAGAGTAAGAGTTTGGTTACCATGACGTGTTGGGTAACAGCTGTGAGCAGCCCAGGTCACTACCTACTCTTATCACTATGGCACCTCCCACCAAGCACCATACTCAAGTGTTATACTGTGTACAATACAGTGAATTCATTATTAATATACGATACATACTGTACTTGCTTCTTGTGAAAAGTGCATGATATTCACACCAAAAAGAGCAACACAGTTTAATGGGGCTAAAAAGAATATTTTTGAAAATGTTGTCAGCCAGTCACAGGGAAACAAGGTCCTGCCTCTAGTGAAATTTCTTTCCTGTTATAAATACAGTGGGGTATGCTATAACGAACAGTTTATATGACAAATATTCCTATAACAAACGGTTTTCCCTATAAAATTGAAAATGCTGTAACAAACGAAACTCCTACAACGAACAGTATTTTTTATTATTTTTTGTAATAATTTATTATTTTTTATTACAAGTATTAATGATATTCTTTATTTCAGGAGTTTAAATGCACATTTATGCACTTTTTAAAATTTTATAATTTTATATTATATTTTTCATTGTTAAGTGGTTGTACAGTAAGTGAAAATAATCAGTACTTCTTCAGGTTCCTTGCTACTGCAACCCCAAAGGAAGATGCCAATATTGGTCATGTTGCCAGTGATGAGGGAGCCGGCAAGCACCTCAAGATCACTGCACGTCACACACGTCTTCCTGTAGTGGCCAAGGCAGTTGTAACAGACATGGGAATGGAATCTTCAACAGTACGTTCGGTCACACTCAGAGTAGAAAACCCAAACTTCACTTTCAAGGCTGGACAATGGTAAGTTGTAAGACCTCAGTTGTGAGTCCCTTCATTGAGTTACTGAGGAGATAAAAATACATTATAGTAATAGTCACCTCAAGATACAGTATCATGTACGGTACTGCTGTGTGTTTAGGCAACTTGTATCACTCATCATAAGTACTGTGGTATATCATTATGTTTTCATTTTATTTATTTATTTTTATCTTTTCACCACCTAAGAGCTTACTAGCCATTCAGGTTGTTGGTTTGTACTTTGTTATGACCTTCATCTTCCAGTGTTTCATTCTGTAGTAGAGAAGAGGATTTTTCATAAATTATTGTTTGGGATTTAATAGTCGTCGATCACCTGCAGGATAGACATGTTCATCCCCGGCATGGAGACGGTGGGAGGCTTCTCCATGTACTCTTGTCCAACACATCTGGCGGAGACAGGAACCTTACAACTGGGCATTAAGTTCTCCAGATGGCCTCCTGCATTCTGGGTTCACGATCAGGTAACACATCCTATTTCTTCTCCCCGTGTGTTCCTTCTGTGTGAGGTTAATAACTTTGTTTGGATCATCTGAAGAATCACCACCCTATATCATTTAGAGATTGACAACCTTAACACTATTTGTGGGAGATGAGGTTAAGTGAAGTTAGGTTAGCATTAGGGTGGGTTAATCTTGAAGTGAAATAGGTTAAGGTGGATATTCTTCAGGTGATCTCTTTTATTATTTATTTTTATGTTTTTATATTAGAATTTTTCACCAATTGTCGGACGGACGATCGGTCTGTTATGTGTTACGAGACTAGATGCTTTAAAGGTTACTAGAACTCAACTGTCTGGGCTAATTCACATTACATGATGCTGTATTTCTAGAACAAAATCATCCTTTACTGTAACACAATTATCCACCTATACAGTACCGTATATACTTAGTTACCCATAATTTCTAAGTACCATATACATTTGTCTTATTGAATCACTCAGTCATTATAAATTTATCCCATGTCTTTAATTATTTACACTAAGTAGGTTTTGTGCTTGTCATACATTAACATCTTCAAATATAGTTTTTTTTTTTTTTAGGGTTTGGTATTTCATTAATTTTTTATTATTATTATTATTATTAATGTTCTTCTTGTACCTCTTTTTTATGTTCTTCTTTTATTGTCTTTTTATTATTCTTGTTTTTCTTCACCATCTGCTTGTTTATCTTCCCGTAATAGTGCAAGGTAGGATCAGAGGTTAAAATCCGGGCAGGGGGAGACTTCTACTCACGCCCAGAATCGGCGACGAGTCCTACGACCTCCTCCGTGGGCGGGGCGTAGGCGTCAACCAAGGCTCCATGTTCCTCCACGCCAACAGCCTCCACCAGATTCACGAGGAAAACAAAGAAGAATATCGTCCGGGGAGAATTCTACTTTTATATTCGGCTCGATTATAATGAATTACTCTATAAGGTGTGTGTGTGTGTGTGTGTTTTGTGGTTCCATGAGGGGTTGTGGCTAATCATACTGTATGGTCAAATCTCATCATGTTGTTTCTGGTGATGGGTGAGAAATTGCGCTCGTCACTTTACGTTGACCCTCGCTTGAGATTAGGTCAGGTTAGGTTAGATTAAGTTAAGTTAGGTTAGGTTTCTTGAGGTTCATTCAATCCTCAGCATTATAAGAGACAAAGTGGCTGAATTTATCCATATGATTAGCCTCAGCCTTGGTGATTTTTTAGTCTGTTTTTAGTCCATCCCACAAGTCTAGTGTGTGTGTGTGTGTGTGTGTGTGTGTGTGTGTGTGTGTGGGAACCTACAATGTGTGATAGAATTACACTGGATGCAATTTCTCTCATATTCTTCCCCACTAAGTTGAGTCATCGGGATCATATGTTAGTCCATTTTCTATGAGTTATGGCCACTATAGCATTAATACTCTTCTTACAGGCCTTGTTAGACACCATCTCAGTGAAGACTCCAGAGACCGAGGTGCGTTACTTCACAACTAGAGAACCTCCGCCAGATTCATCACTCGTCACCTGTAAGCTCTTCACCCAAAATCTTGCCTTCTTGTATATCATTAACAGTCACGATTGGTAAAAGCTGTAGTGTAATGACAAATAAAAAGTATTGGAGAATTAGGACATTAGGCGTTTGTTTTCCTTCTCTCGTAGATAAAATTCCCTTGCCGTCGCTTTCATTCATTTGTACATTTTACAGTTTTGTCGAATACCAGTCCATTTATTTTTATCCCCTTTAGTTCAAGTTTAGGAGGATATAGCAATCATGTCAGTTGAGTTTTTGTTTTAATTTCTCTTAACATTTAATTATTATCTTTCTTATCAGTGTGTTTATAGATGGTAGTTTTGGGAGGTGTATTGTTGATGTGTGGGAGTAATGCTGTGTTGTGGTGCATATTCTGGGCCTTTTGGCAATGGATGGGAGATGGTTCAGTGTGGAGTTACAAAAATTTTCTCTTTTATTTCAATTTAGACATTAACCTCTTCACTATGGGATGCCACTTTTAACATTTTATTTATCTAACACCAGATAGTTAATCAGCACAGAGAGACTCCTATGTACACAAGGGGTTAAGTGGTGTTCCAGCCAGTCATCTGTAGCAAGTCTCTGCCTGTGATTTACCCCCATGTTCTTATTTGACACTTGTTGGCCCTTGTATGTCTCAACACAGAGCATCACACTCACTCATTCACCATCATTCATTTATTCTCATTGGTGTAACAGATGGGTACTGCTATGGTGTTCTCTGTCCTCAACAAAACTCCCAATATTTCTGTTCGGTTTATTGCAGTGGCTCAAACACCCCAACATCAGGCATCAGCAGCATGTCCCATTTCATAAACTACTAAATCCTATTCTTTTAAAATCTATATCCACACCACAGTTTATTTATACATTTAGTAGAGTATTGATATTGGTTATTAGTTAGAGGAAACATTAAATACTACCTTAAAAGTATCCATGTGTTGTGACAATAATTTGATGTGTGTTTAATCTTGCTCTTGAAACAGACGGCCACATAACACACGAAGTTCTCAAGTCATCTGTGGCGTCTCTGGATGTGTCGTCACTGAAAACTTTCATCTGTGGACCACCGCCCATGATTGAAAACATCAACAAACATCTCTTAGCTTGTGGTTTATTACAACATCAAATACTGTATGAAAAATGGTGGTAGATAACTTGTATTATAACTATATTGTATTTTTTTGTAACGTGTTGGTTTGAAAATAAATAATTGGGTATTGTATAATTCTTTCTGGCATAATATGGTAGACTTACAGCTGTCCATAATAAACCTCAAGGTGTTCTGTAAAGACCATGAGAGAGAAAAATTTTAATGTCTTATAGAAACTTACTGAGTGTTTCTAAAGTCGTGCAATCTTCTTCTTCTACTACTACTTCTTATTCTTCTTCTCCTCCTCTCTTTCTTCTTCTTTACTAGAAACATATCTATCCACTGAATAAAGATACCAGTAGAAATTGAACATGACACACACACACATTTTTCAAAGCACGTGATGATATATATATTCACTGAAACTATGTAATGTGACAATAGTAAATCTGGTTTTGGTCATCTACTGAATTTTCATTACTCAAATTTATATAGAAAGGGTTGCATAATTTTAGAAACACCCCATATTGTTATATTAACCCCTTGTGTATAGGGTTCCCTCTGAGCTGAATAAAATCATCTGGTGTAATCCAAATGAAATATTAAAAGTGGCATCCCTATACTGAAGGGGTTAATGAAGTGTAGATAGATATTGGGAATAGAAAACCAACGTGATTATCGACCAAGGATTTTGTCCGACGCACTGACCCCAATGACAAAACTCAGGAACATTAAATCCTACAGACCTGTGATACTACTGTTCTTTATTTTTCCTTAAAACTGTCTGAAGAATACCAGATGGTTTAGCTATGACAGACTTCACAACGTGGTACTGCCTATAATTTTTATAGTAACATCTAAAATGCCTGATTCCTGGCAACCTGCTTTCTAGGTAACAAAAATGGTTTGTAAATAACATACAGTACCTGCCAAGTTTCATAAAAAATAAAGGGCCTTATTGCACAAATTATAAGCCCTATGGTGTGAGTGACCTACAAAAAAACGTGTAGTTACTGTAGATGTCACCCTCACCGCTGATGAATATGATGTATTTCTTTGTGTATGAACCTCTGTCCTGCGTGGCAGTGAGAAGTGATACCACCCTCAGTGTCAAGACCTGACTGAATTACTCGGAATAGGCAAACTGTACTACAAGCTTTGTCAATAAATTTGTTAAACTAAAAAAAAAATCAACACTTATTGAAGGGGCTGTTATTATCTTATAAATGAACAATTGAAAACAGAGTATCATCATATATTGTTAATTTGTTGCCATTGTTTGTGATGTGTAAATCGTGTTTTTAAGCATATGAATACAGTATACTGTATATTGATTAGTGTCAATTAGTTATGATGTGCTGGGTGTTAGAGAGATGTGTTATAAGTGCTGCTTACTTGTATCATGTAGACAAAGTGTTTTATGTTCATATTTTATAACTTTTCCTCAATGTTGTGTCAATAGTTGATGATCTGTTCCTAAAAAGTGAGCCATTTAAATCTGTACTTAATTTCATAATGCCCTCAGATAATTTCCCATAATTTTAATAGGAAATCTTCAATTAACAGCCGTTGTCTTAACGAGCCTTACCGTCACATATACTGGAGTGTGTTTACCATCATATCACTGTCCCAGACAAGTAGAGTCCTCTCTTGACAGGAAGCTAACCCCTTAACACTGATCCATCCATCATGCCTTGATTGTCTGTTTTCAGGTCCAGTATTTAGCATTGACACAGGATGTAATGTACAACTTGATTTTTTTTTTCCAGTGGGGAGGACTGAGGTAGGCTGGGGCTAGAGATACTATATGATTGCATTTGTTCTTGATTCTACCTAATATTTATTACCCTTTGTCGGACCACTAAGATAAACCAGTAAAATCTTGATCGTTTTTTCATGGTTATAAAGGATATACAATAAGCAGTCCTGCTCCTATTGTATATAATTATTTTTGGTCAAGATACCAAATATTTTTCCAGATTTAAATAAGGCTTTAAATACGTATTGGGGTTAGTTGTATTATTTATATTGAGTGTGGTAATTTTCACTACAATTATGAAGAGGGTTTTGTGTACCGTCACAATACACTATTAAAGATGTGTTTACAACTGTGTTTATTGTTTAACCTATTAGTACCAGTCAGCTACAGGTGATATCTTTTATTGCTTCAACCTAACCTAACTAAACCAAGCCAAACCTAACCTAACTAAACCAAGCCAAAACTAACCTAACTAAACCAAGCCAAAACTAACCTAACTAAACCAAGCCAAAACTAACCTAACTAAACCAAGCCAAACCTAACCTAACTAAACCAAGCCAAAACTAACCTAACTAAACCAAGCCAATCCTAACCTAACTAAACCAAGCCAAAACTAACCTAACTAAACCAAGCCAAACCTAACCTAACTAAACCAAGCCAAAACTAACCTAACTAAACCAAGCCAAAACTAACCTAACTAAACCAAGCCAAACCTAACCTAACTAAACAAAGCCAAACTTAACCTAACTAAACCAAGTCAAACCTAACCTAACTAAACCAAGCCAAACTTAACCTAACTAAACCAAGTCAAACCTAACCTAACTAAACCAAGCCAAACTTAACCTAACTAAACCAAGTCAAACCTAACCTAACTAAACAAAGCCAAACTTAACCGAACTAAACCAAGTCAAACCTAACCTAACTAAACAAAGCCAAACTTAACCGAACTAAACCAAGTCAAACCTAACCTAACTAAACAAAGCCAAACTTAACCTAACTAAACCAATTCTAACCTAACTTTACCTGATTTAACCTAACCTAACTAAACCAATCCTAACCTAACTAAACCAAGCCTAACCTAACTAAACCAAGCCAAACCTAACCTACCTAAACCAATTCTAACCTAACTAAACCTGATTTAACCTAACCTAACTAAACCAATCCTAACCTAGCTAAACCAAGCCTAACCTAACTAAACCAAGCCAAACCTAACCTACCTAAACCAATTCTAACCTAACTAAACCTGATTTAACCTAACCTAACTAAACCAAGCCAAACCTAACCTAGCTAAACCAATCCTAACCTAACTAAACCAAGCCTAACCTAACTAAACCAATTCTAACCTAACCTAACTAAACCTGATTTAACCTAACCTAACTAAACCTAACCTAACCAACACAATAGATCACTCCTACATTATCACGTCTAACGACCATGTATACATAATGCTGGTATACAATGATGAACTGAGTTGATTTAATATAATACTAGTACAGTCATTATACCGATATATACAATTATACTATATACAAGTACACAATCATTGTACTAGTATATATTGTAATAATACAGTACCAGCAAATACAATCATCATACCAGTATATAATTCATTATACGTATCAGTATATGCAGTCATTATACTAATAGCATTTAGTCATTATAACAATACAGTCATTATACCAATACAGTCATTATACCAATACAGTCATCATACCAATACAGTCATTATACCAGAATACATTCATATATCAGTCACTCGGTAGTCATTATATGAGTACACACTTATTATACCAGTAAATTAGTATTCATCATCATATATCAGTATACAGTCATCATATCAGTATATATAATAGTCATATCAGTATATATAATAGTCATATCAGTGTATACAATAGTACATAATTATAATACTGTATTACACAATTCAACCAGAGCGGTAGAGCGCGTGAGAGGCTTTGACTTACAACCAAAACACCAAAGAAACTTATTATCCCAGTGTATTTATTAACATATACCAATAATAAAACAAAATAAGTTATAATTGACTATAATAGTGAATAAAATACATAAGTGTATTATCACTCCTGACGGATACAGTATTTTTACACGTGCAGGGGACTATGCCAAATGGGTATAATACTTATTGTCAACTTAATTTAAACTAGATTTTATTTATATTATTTGGTTTATAGTAAGATAGTATTGTATTGGAGTGTTGTAGTTTGATAGATATGTGAGGGGGGGAGTGTATTAATGGTTGTATTATGTAGATGGGGGTGGTGGTATAGATTTGGCAACAGTGGCACGAGGTGGAGGTGCGTGGGGGCCGACTGACTGAGAGGGACAAGTGCACCACTACACTTGTCGGCGTGAGGTCCTGTGGTGGTGATGTCCGTGTGTGTGCCATAAAAACCCTTTCTTCCCTCTGCCGGAATGTCGCGCAGAAAGCAGAAATTTCCCGTCCACCTGAAGAGTAAGTGTTATATAGAGATAATTATTGTTTAAAATGAGGAAAGAATGATGATAAATATGGTAGAGTTGTGGTTTTGATAGTGGGTACGTGTTATGGTAGTGGCAGGTGTATGATGGTATAAAGAAGACCACTGACCTCTTCTCTCTTCTTCCTCTTTATTCTTCTCCCTCTTGGATATTAAACCCACATTACCCTTTATCATTAACCTCATCACCTGATAATAACACGTGTAATTAATGCAACAGAGGGCAGTGTAATTACGTATGGGTAGTTAAGAAATAATTGGTAACAGGCATCTTGGACTAATGCCCAAAACTGACCAGCCAGTGATCACAAGTTGATTTATTTCCTCTCGTGTGTATTATTATTGTAATTATTGTCATTGTTGAGATTATTACTATAGTCTTGTGGGTAATAAATGTAATTCTTTTGAGGAGGAATACATAGGTGGTTATTTCTCTTCACAACTGATTAATAATAGCTAATTGGTAACTACGTAATATAATCTGTTGGTTATTAATGTAATTGTTTTGATAATTGCAGTAGTTGTTATTAGTGTATGGTTAAGCGAATAATTGGAGATATATTTTGTTTACGTCATAACAAGTAGAATGTATATAGAGAATTAATGTAATAACCTTATAAACGTAATGTGGTAATTAACGTTATTAACTTATTTGGTTTAGTAATTTAGTAATGATCTAGTGAATTATTGCTAATTTTCATAGACTTTGAAGCCCAATTGACAATACATTATATTTCTGGGTCAGGTAAAGGATATGAGTGTTCATTGTGTGTGTGTGCGTGTGCGTGCATTAAATGTTTGGGTACGGTGTGTGTGTGCGCAGTCAACTGTTTATGGATGTGTACAGTGTTTGTGTATCATTGTACATTATGTTTGTAGAGTGTACCGGTACAGTATATTTGTATGTGTACATAGTATGTTTATTTGTGTACAGTGTATGTTTGTGTACATATATGTGTGTGTGACTAATTTTGCATGCGTTTGTAAAGTCGCCTTTCATTACTGGACAAACCTTTCCTAAAATTCACCAAACAATTTATTCAACAGCTCGAAATATTTGTCACTTAGCAAGAAAAACAATAGCTTTATGAACATTATATATTTAGCTGTTTTAAGTTAATGAGGAAAATGGTTATATAAATTTACATATATATGCCGTAATGAGGTAATGATTTTAACTTAAGTTATTTTGTTCGGCCTGTGGTTGTAGCGTTTACTTTGGAATGTTAAATTTTGTTATTGAGTTAGTTCAAGTTTGGTTAGGTTAGTTATGAATTGAAGAGTCAAACGGTTTTATATTGGATTTCAGAATTTGTAAAGTGTAGATAACGCACAATAAATAATGTCTAATCTACAGTACACATATATTGCGTTGAATTACGAAAACGCGTAAAGCAGTCCAGCATATACACTGTACCAAAAGGTCAAGTTAATGTTTGTCAATTATCCTTAAGTTTAATTTTTCCTATTAGTTGTACGTTATCAGTGGTCTGCGTGGGGTAGTGGGTGATGCTGGTATGGGTGGATGAGATGCTGGTATGGGTGGGTGGGATTGGTGGGTGATGTTGAAATAGGTGGATGGGATGGTGGGTGATGTTGGTATGGGTGGATGGGGTAGTGGGTGATGCTGGTATGGGTGGATGGGTGCTGGGTGATGCTGGAATGGGTGAATGGGGTGGTGGGTAATGCTGATATGGGTAGGTGGGGTGCTAGGTGATGCTGGAATGGGTGAATGGGGTGCTGGGTGATGCTGGAATGGGTGGGTCGGGGTGGTTGTGGGTGATGCTGATGTGGATATAGGTGCTTATAGGTGGGGGTGGGCGGGTGGGTGGTCAGAGGACATTCCACCCACCGCCACCTGGGTGTACCAACGCTCGTTAATCCGGGTTTCTCCTCACTCTCACGTATCCGTTCAACCGCTGTGCTTCCAACTGGACAAAGCATAACCGAACTATACCATATATTCTCTTGGACCAAATATACCCCAGCGTTTACAAGGTTCAGTCATATTACTAGTCTTGTTATAGTGAAAGTTTGTATTTTGGGGGCTGAGTAAACTTTAATTTTCAAATTAAATTCCACTGAACAAATTCTAGCGAAACTTTTATTTACTTTGTCTAGATTAGGATGTGATTTGGCCTTTTTTTTTGTAATGCTAAGGAGAGGTTAGAAACGAGTTCATTGGTGGAGAACTGTGTCCGCCTCCCGCCTCTCGACCAAGGAAAGCCCTAGATCCGCTTCAGCTCGTGCGTATGTGGTAGCAATAGCACCCACGCCCTCCAACGCACCAGCTTCCAAAACATCATCACCACACGCCCGTACCAGCTTCCAAAACATCATCACCACACGCCCGTACCAGCTTCCAAAACATCACCACACGCCCGTACCAACTTCGAAAACATCATCACCACACGCCCGTACCAACTTCCAAAACATCACGCCCACGCCCCCCCACGCAGTGACTTAATACGCTGTAGCCCCTTGAATTTACAGGTATATAAAGACGTGCGGTAGAAAGTGCAACACACACACACACACACACACACACACACACACAAAAGTTTACCATCACAATTACAGGGAACAATGTGTAATATTTTGAAATCTTGTACGAATAATTTTGAAATATTTCTTTTGAAAGCGGTAGCAGTTGTCTTAAAAAACACCCGGCTTCGTTAATTCTTACGTCTAATACTCTTCACATTAAAAGAGGTTCCTGATTATGCTTAACTTTGCCTAAAATATCACCAGAACATAGAAAAATAACCCCAGTGTTAAATTAAATCAACGCTTAACTAGATACGTATAGGAGTTAAAGCGACTATCTGTGCAGGTGGGGGTCGATATGCTCCGAAATTTTAAGTGTGACCAGTGATAACCCTCGTATACCAAAATTTATCGTCGATGGTCTCACAAAGTATGCGCAGATAGTTGTTCTAGTTACTGTACGTACGGCCGAAATAGCTGAAAGGCGAAGTGGCCAATATTCTCCAAACAAGCCAAATACAGTAGATATGTTTTCTCAACACCCGATGACACTTTTAACCAATAAGATTCCTGTCCCTACTGATATGGGTTAAGTGAATGTATATAGGCAAGGTAGAGCCACAGTGTAATGTTTGGGGTACTCAAAGTATCCAACCGGGAGCGAACTCGTAACAATGGTTTTTGTAAACGCCTTAGTTAAGGACGTTCAGGTGACGAGCAAGTCGAAGGGAATGGTTGAAACCTGCCTTTTGGCGCATTCAATATTTATTGATGTGGTCAAAACATGCAGGGAACAAGGCGTTCATTAGTATTACATAGTGATCTATCTGATACATAATTAGTTACTCTCAGACGAATTCATCTTAATTACAATTGATTATTAAGCAGAAACGAGTAGGCATAATTAGTCCACAATATTTCAGTACTGAGGGGTATGTCATCACTTTGGCTGTACTTACAAGTGCGGGTCAATGCGAACCAGTATGGTGTTCCAAGGGACAATAGTACTGTGTAAATTGTTCCAGCACAAAACTGGCCAGGATTGGGAGTTGGTGTTCACCAGAGGGCTGGTCCTCACAGCATCACTCGAGAGAGCGATCTGCATCATGGAGGCCAGGCGACCACGCCACCCTTTAAACATATACACTCAGGAGAATCAGGGCGTCTTGTTTGTGCAGGTCGCGTGTGTTGGGGGGGGGGGGCGCACGTGGTCGCAGGCTGATAGATTTAATGTTTGTTCGGGTAAGACAACGCCAGCACTGTAGTCGAAGCCAGCGGCGATAACAGTTTTAAATAAGACAAATTTAGATTTAGGCGCGAAATAGGTAAACATTGGTTTGGAAATAGAGTAGTGGACGAGTGGAACAAGTTTGTGTGAGTGGTGTCAGAGTTTTGTGTTATTTTCATAGTAAAAAGATGTCATCTCGAACGGTTGTTTGTTATCCCTCAGAAAACCATGGTTCTTGAATTTCCTTTTATAAGATCCCGATTAGGCTGGCAAAGGATTCATATCCCTAAGTCCCAGGACTTTACAATCATTAACTCGAATACGCCGGATAGCTTCAAACATACAGTACAATAGGTTGGATGGATATATGAGCAATAGGGGTTGGGTGTAAATGGGACTGCCCAGTATGGGCCAATAGGCCCGCTGCAGTTTCCTCCATTCTTATGTTCTTATGTTATTTATGGATGTAGTTTTGAGTTTAACTCTGATGACGTTGGTGGAGTGATCCTTTGAGTTAGCGTGTTGGCTGGGTTTAGGTGTCGTACTGGGGGGGCTAAGTTGTCGTACTCTAGGGGTTAAGTTGTGCTCAGGGGGTTAAGACATCGTACTCAAAGGGTTAAGCTGGTGGTCAAACCGATAGATGCGTTCATTCCTCTTCAGTTGTAAGGAATATTATTAGAGCCCACGACACACACACACAGCCTTCTGGCTGCCAAGCTCTTTCAATAAACCGTTAATTATTATTATTATTATTCACACACACACACACACACACACACACACACACACTGGCTCCTGCCATCATTGGTCAACACAGGTATATTCACGTTGCATCTTTGCCGTGTAACTGATGAAGAGAGAATGAACCATGTTAAGTCACTGTGGTAGTGTCAACGTTATTTTTACTGTTATCTTAGTTTGTGATCTGAAAGGCTAGCAAATTGAACTTATTTTACCTACTTTATCCTAAATTCATTTTAACTTAACCTTCCCTACCTAACCTTCCCAACCCTACCTAACCTTCCCTACTTTCCCTGCCTAACCTTCCCTACCTACCCTACCTAACCTTCCCTACCCTAGATAACCTTCCCTACCTAACCTACCCTAGATAACCTTCCCTACCCTAACCTTCCCTACCTACCCTACCTAACCTTCCCTACTCACCTAGATAACCTTCCCTACCCCCCAGCAGCCCCTACCTGCCCTATCCCTACCCCACAGAATAACACCACAACCCTACCCTAGATAACCTTCCCTACC